TATCGATGGGAGTGGCGTTCAATACGGCTATTGATTAGTTGGGGTTTAGTAAGAGTTTATTAGTTTAGGCACTTTATATATAAATTAATATTTACCTAGACTAGCGAGAACGACTGTTAAAGCGAGTATTTTATTCATAGCGAATTATTTGGATTTTAACAACTAATTAAATTTCTAAAATAAGTGATCGACCTATTTATACTTTTTGTTGTAAGGTAAAAATTATAATATAACAGTATAATCACAATTAGTAAATGTTTTTTTAATTACTAATAATTGTAAAATATGAAAATACAAGTTTAATTAGTTCGGTCGAACCGGTCTCTTAAACGTACCAAGCAAAATAATTAATTTGTTCATATTGTCATTAAAACATATGTTGGTAGAGTAACCATAATTTATATAAAATTTTAGAGTTTTAAAATTTTAATATTTAGTCGATTTAAATAAATTGCAATTATGTAAATTAGAAACTAATTTATAAGCTGTAATTATAATTAATTTAATTAAATGATCTTTACAAAGCATCCTAAATAGGAATTTGTTGGTTTACCTAAGGCATTTAAAAATGTTTTGTAATTTATTAATTATTACAATTATTTATATTATTTATTTAGTATTGTTATTTATAAAACAAAATTTATTTTTACAACATTATTTTAAGCAAATTATGTTACTTTAAACAATTCAGTATACATATTGTTTTTAATTACTAAACTCTGCTAGATTAATTATGCCTCTTAAATAGAGACATTAGTACAATTCTAAATTTACCAGACTCATTTGTCAATCCTACCCTAGTTCCGTTTAAAAATATTTATGTACTCAATTAATTATAATCTCGGTCAAAACACTGTAACTGTATAAATATTAATAGTAATTTATAAAGTGACCAAATAAGTATAAAAGCTAGGTCAAAATTTTTGTTTTTCATAAATAATCAAACTCGTTAAAACTATTTATAAAATAACATAATTATTTAACAATGGTTAATGTAGCGATTATTATTTTACTGAGCGCGTTAAGTATGTATTTGATAATAAATATTTACATTTATATATAAAGTGCCTAAACTAATAAACTCTTACTAAACCCCAACTAATCAATAGCCGTATTGAACGCCACTCCCATCGATAAGCCTGAGTCGAGATTTTGCGGCGGTTATGGTTACGGCGGTTATCCCTACGGATACCCGTATTTCCCTCGACCCCAACCCGTTCCCCGACCGGTTCCCCAGCCATTCCCGCAGCCAATGCCAGCACCGGCTCCGGCACCAGCTCCTGGACCCATCACATGGCCCATAACGGTAATTGGCGGTAATAACGGTACCACACCCACCAACGGCACCGCACCTACCAATGGTACCACTACCAACCCAACTGGCCCAGTAATTTTACCAGCTTTTGTATAAAATACCTATTGTATACAAAATACAAACTGCGGCATAGTGACCATGACTCAATAACAAAAAATTATTATATAAAAAATTGCTCTATTAAATTAAATGATATTTTTTAATGTCAAAATTAAATGTTGATTTTTGGTAATACTGATCTTAGCAGCAAATCGCCAATATTATTTTCAAGATTTTGGATGATAATAATAAATAATTGCAAGGATTTATATTACAATTTATTTTGTTTTTATATTTACTTTATTACATTGTTATGACAGGTTTATAAAAAGTGGATGATTCACTAAAAATAACCTTTTTAATTAATGAACACAAGTACACTAAAATATGTTAATATATTTACAAACTTGTAGATTAACAAAATATTTAGTATTATTATTTATTTATTAAACGTATTACATTTGGCTTTAACAATGTATTATTAATTTTGACGTCTACAACTATTAATAATCGGATCAAAATTATCAAGTGTTTTAAAATTATATAAAATTATATTATACGCAAACACACGTCATGTAAATTATTAAATTAAAAAGTTATCATAACATTTATAACTATAGAATTATAATATTAAAAATTTTGTATTTATCTAATAACTAATTATTTAACAATGGTCAGCACAACAATAATTGTATTTATTGGCTTATTTGGTACGTAATACTTATTACTACAATAAAAATAAACTTAAAAACATTATAACTAGCTTAATTCTACTACCATATGTTAATTATAATTTACATTTATTAACATAATAGCCGTTATGACCGCTATTCCCGTCGATAAGCCTGAGTCGAAATTTTTATTCGGGTTTGGTTTTGGGGGTTTCAATCCATTCCCTTTCTTTGGATACCCGTATTTCCCGCAATCAACCCCTGAACTGGTTTCGTGGCCAATCAACATGATGGGGCTCAATGGCACTGTACTGGCTAACAGTACCGCACCTATCAATGCCACGGCACCGGCAGTACCAACTAATCCCATATCATCAGCCTTGAAAATTGAGCCAGCTAGCTTAGTTGTGCCTTTTACAAATGGTGATGATAGTATTGATACTGATTATACTATTGTAAATTGAATAATTAACATGTAATTAGATTTTACTGATATTATTTTTTAAATTTTGATTCAATATAATAAATATAACATTATGCTAGTAATCAAATGCGATATATTTTTGTAATTGTTTATCTATGACTTTAAAATGCAAATAATATTAATTTTCAAACTGTAACAGAATCTATTTACTAGTTTATAAAATAAACGATTTATAAATTGTTGTTTTGTGGTGTGAATTCTTTTGACTTTTAATTAATATTTTTCAGTATTATAAATCATGTTATATTTATAATTTAAAATGTTATAACAGTCAGTTATTTTAATACCTATCTCAAATAGTTTTGAATTGATAATACTTAACACAATATGCAGGCAATACAGGTACTGCCAACATCTACTGGTACTTTTAGTAATTAATTATTTATTCTTTTTAATAAAAATTAAATTATAGATATAATTGTATTTTATTTTAAACTTTGAAATATTTACTTACAAATGTAACAAATTAATTAATTGTTTAATTACAAAATTAATTTTATTCCTTTTAACAATTTATTTAATAAGGACTCCGTAAATATTTATTTAACGTAAATAAACATATTAAAAAATTTTAGTTTATAATTATTTTGTTTATTTAATATTTTATAAATCAGATTAAACTTATATAAAATAAATAAGTAAACTAAAATTTAAATAGTGTATGTTTAAAATGTGGTATGGTGCCACGTTTTTTGCCAACTTTACAATATGGACAGCATTGGCATAAACTTGGTTGACCAGGGGTGAGCTTTGAGTTTTGGATGTATTCGCATTTTGGTTAACCCTTAAAGCTTAAACTATAACTATGGACGTTGTAAATAAACTGGGAAAGTAATCACCCAGCAGTTAGTGCATAAACTGGGAGATTGATCTCCCACGCTTT